CGCATTTTTCCTTCATTGGAAAAATGGGTTTTTTGGAAATTAAAGGGTCCATTTATTGTTGCGTTCCCCTTCCCCTTTGGGTTTGGTAAGGAGATATATTTTAAAGGGAAAAAGTTGGGAAATAAATTCTTCACGGAATTATATAGATTGGAATTGCAATAAGTATTTGAAACGTTCGGAGATTTCAATAGCCGAATTTCGAATTTCCTATTTGAAGCGAAAATCAATTGACATAAACTCCAGTAAAATTGCCTGTATAAGTTGGAAATAGTTAAATTAACTTAATTTGTCTAGAACTTTTTTGGAGAATGTCTCGACACTGTCCAGAACTACTTGTATGAGATTCCAATGCAATGGATGCGAAGTTTAAAGAGAACAATTCGAAAACAAACAACTTTCAAAAAATAAAATACATAATATAATTTTTTTGGCTTTTTATCATTTAGATTTGGTATTAGAACACGTACTAGGTGTCTAATCACATTCTGCATGCCGAGACATACACGCATACAGAAACTGAGTTATTAGCCTAAAATAGACAAATCGTTAACATAATTGTTCCAATTATGGGAGAAAAAATTCTACCAATTTTCAGTTATTTTCGAACGCTTTTAATGACAGAGAGAGAATAATTGGCGCACAATGCAGTTAACTGAAATGAGTCTGGCTAGAAGAGGAGGGCGGAACAATCTGTGTTACTTTATTAGGACATTGCGTGTCATCTTCTTGCATCGCAGTAAGACGATGATGCCATGAACTGAAATTGGGATAATAGGATGAAGAAAGTAAATCTAGTAAGAAAGATCTGTACTGCAAGGCATTACAGATAAGTACAGTTTCGTAGTAGTATATTCAACAAAAAAAAAACTTAAAAATTGAAACTAAAAAAATGTATTACAGAGATAATATATGAGGGCCAACACATTAATGCAACTTATGCGTTAATATTTAGTAGGATTTGGGAGTAGGACTTACTCCATTCCTTTTGAACTAGCTGGCAAATTCTCTACCTACCATATTTTACTTCTCCTGTTAGTTTTGAGTATAAATGTATAATTTCTGCATCTACTACGTATTTGAAAAACTAACAATAAAGAATAGGTAACATATGTAATATATATATAAATAACAATGACTGCATCTATGCATACTTACATACAAACATACACATATGTATATATATATATATATGTTTATATATTTATGTATATAAATATATGTTTATTCTATCTGTTAAAGTATATAGTTTTATCTCCTTGTTCTTGTTCATTTTTCTTTTTGCTTTTTATTAATGGTTCATAGGTAACAATACCAATAAGTCGATTGTTCTTTCTCTCTAGTGTCTAGTGTCTAACTATTTTGAAACATCACCTCCTAAATAATAATAAAAAAAAGAACCAAGAAATATATCCCTCTTTTTAGTTTTCTTTCTTTCTTACTCGAGTGTGGTGATAGATTTCTAACGTAGACAGATGCATATCAAAACACAACAAATAGTAACGGAGCACGTATGCAATTGTGTGTAAATGAATAACATGTCATTATTGATTAATAGAGTCCAAGATTTAGAACGACAAGTGTTATTATACGAAAATATAGCAACAAACTTATCAGACGATCTAGATAAACATTTTAAAAGACTAGAAAATATTATTTCTTCTCAACAATCACAAATTAACGACTTAAATAAGTCATTATTAAATATTTTGGATAAAAAAAATCTCCGGACCCCAAATAAAAATATAATGAATACAAATATGAATACCACTGGTGGTGTAAGTGTCAATACAAGTAATTCGACAAGTCTCTCCAATTCGAATATTACAACACCATCATACAAATATTCTCCACCACAAATGCCAACACTACGTCACCATTCAGGTCCTTTAATGGCACCAACTGTTCCAGTCCCACTTCCACACCAACCACTACAGATCTTGCCGCAGCAACAACAACAATTGATAGATCCGTACTCCAGTGTCGGTGCAGCAACGGGATCCGGAGCGGGCTCAGTTACAGGATCAACAACGCCATTAATTGTTAATCCAATAATATCAACAACTGGACCACAGCAACAGCCACCCTCCTCTTCTTCATCATTATCATCAAACCCACATCAACAACAACAACAACAACAACAACAACAACTGCAGCAAGAACATAAAAATATTTTGGTAAATCATCCATTATCGTTTCGTTCTCATTCAAATGTCAATATAAGTAATACTAATCCCGGTTCCAATGCTAACACATTATTGCTACGGCCTTATATTCCTGGATCGTTGGGGAATTCCTCAAATATGGCACCTCAACTGCCATTAGCATTGGATAATCATAATAGCAATAATAATAATAATAATAATAATAATAATAATAATAACAGGCATATTAATAATAATAATCATAATAATAATAATCATAACAATAATAATAATCATAACAATAATAATAATAATAACAGTAGCGATACTAGTCATAGTCATAATCATAGTCATAATCATAATAATCCTAGCATTACTAGTAGTGATAATAATAATAACCGTAGAAGTACGTCGCTTTCTACTGTCAATTTACAAACAAATAACAATGGTAGATTGGGCTCTCGTAACTCCGCTCCTATGGTAGTTATGACAAATCCTTCCAATAAGATTCAATTCCCTGGCAATAGCGGCAATTATATCCCCACTTCGAGCCTAATTTCAAAAAGTCATTCAAACCCACATGCACACCCTCATATCCAACAAAACCCAGGCCTACATCCTTACCCCAACAATGCTGGGGCAATCCATTATACAAATGAAGATCACTTGGGTTTTGTACAATTACCACATCTCCAACAATCTATAATTGTTAATCCACATACTACAACAAATAATTCTTTAACTAATGTTGAGACAAACATTAAAGGCGGTAACGGCGGTAGCAACGGCCCTGGAAATACCAACATAGGACTTGGGGTAAATCACCACCCTTATCATCATCAGCGTCATCAACAACAACATCAACATCATACAAACAGTAAAAATCCAAGAACCATTTATCATGGTAATTTTGAATTCATTAAATCTCCGCAAACGGTGTTGGAGATTTGGAAAGAATATACAGAAGGGTTCCATGGACAACCTTCAATTAAAGAGATGGAATCGATTTATAAGACCGGTTGGAGACGAGACCCCGCTGTTAATAAAAGGTATGCAAGACGTAAGGTTTTGTGGAAGGCAATTGAAAATGGAATAGCTAAGGGATTTTCCCTTGAATATATTGTTCAAATGTTGGAAGATCATAGGTACACCGATAAATCAAAGGGTATAAAAGAACCAATTGGCTGGTTATGTCAGAAAAGTAGTATTCCGGAAATTTTCAAATAAGTTCTCCAATACGAATTAATTAGAATTAGTTACTTGATATACTGATTGATTTATGATAAAATGGTAATGTATTATTTCTTTTCAGGAATTGAGAGTTATATAGCCAATGGAAGAGTGATGAGTTAACGAGTAATGAGATGGTAGGGACTTTATAAAGATAAGATTATTCTTCCTATTTTTTTTTTCATTTTTTTAATGAAGGGAAGGTAGTACATTCGATATTTTATTTCTTTTTTATTTGTTTTTATTTTTTATTATATTAGATTAAATTGAATTAAATTAAATTATATTATACTTATATATGTTGAAAATTTTATTTAGTACTATAGAGTAGATATAATATTTTTAAATCACTTTGAGTATACCAGTAAGGTGTGTTCCCGGGATTTGTAACGAAAGAGTTTATTCTTTGTATGTGTTACTGCTGATTACTTGAACCGCGCTCATTATACACGGGCCATCGGCTTCAGCAAATTAATATTGTATCTAGAAACATATATGCTTAAAAATAAGAAATGTAATAGATAGCTTTTATATAAAGTAGAAAGAGAAAGAGAACGAGAAGGTATTTCAAAAAGGTACAAAGGTATATGTTCCTGGTAGAATTGTGAAGTGATCTGAACAAACTATTTTCTATTTGGATGGAAAGATGAGTAAAAAACGGAAATTGAAAATTGTTAAACCAAAGAAGCTGAGAAAGTCTTCAATAAATAAGATAAGAAAAAATTTTAATCTTTTCAATGAGATTGATGATATTGATAATTATGATAAATTAATAGATATGGAAAAGTCTAATAATAATAGATTCTTAGTTCTGCAAGACACGGATGGAATAGATAAAATTGATGAAATTCCCATTGTTGATATAGAATCAGATACTTCAAATGATGATATAGATAACTTAGAGGATTCTTTAAAGGATAATAATGATTTTATTGCAGTTTCTTCAACCTCAGAAGAGGATTATGACGATATATCTGAGGACGAGGACACAGATGGAAATGAAAGTAGTCATGCTGATGAGAGAACTTTAAATACTGAATTTCCGTGGTTATTGAACCACGATCATTCTAAGCAAAAAGAGATTATAGATTGGTTGACTTTAGAAATAAAAGATTTTGTTGCATATATTTCCCCAAGTAAAGAAGAGATTGAAATTCGTAATGTAACTATTTCGAAAATACGAAACTCTTTAAAAGAATTATGGTCTGATTCTGATTTACATGTATTCGGTTCATATGCTACAGATCTATACTTGCCAAGCTCAGATATTGACTGTGTTGTTAATAGTGAAAATGGGGATAAAGAAAATAGAAATGACTTGTATTCTTTAGCAACGCATTTTAAAAGAAATGGCTTGGCTATTCAAGTTGAAGTTATAGCAAAAGCAAGAGTACCAATTATTAAATTTGTGGAACCAAACTCAAAACTACATATAGATATTTCATTTGAAAGGTTAAACGGCCTTGAAGTTGCAAAAATTATACGAGAATGGTTGGATGATACACCAGGGCTAAGAGAACTGGTACTTATTGTAAAACAATTCTTAGCGGCTAGAAGACTGAACAACGTTCATACTGGTGGTTTGGGTGGTTTATCAATTATATGCCTTGTTTATTCTTTCTTAAAGTTGCATCCAAGGATAATTACAAATGATATAGACCCTATTGATAATTTAGGTGTACTTCTGATAGATTTCTTTGAATTATATGGTAAAAATTTTGCATATGATGATGTAGCAATTAGTTTCCTTGACGGAAGAACGTCTTACATGCCGAAGTCAGAATTTAAACAATTTCAGCCAGTAAGAAATCCATTTTCTTTGGCAATTCAAGATCCAAATGATCCTTACAATAATATCAGTAGAGGTAGTTTTAACCTAAGGGATATCAAAAAAGCTTTTTCTGGTGCTTTTGATCTATTGACCAACGTTTGCTTTGAGATGGACTTCGCAACTTTTAAAGACCGTGTTGGTAGAAGTATCTTAGGTAATGTTATCAAATATAGGGGAGAGAAAAGAGATTTTAAAGATGAACGTGATTTAATTGAAAATGCAGCTATCTTGACCAATGAAGAATATCATAGGAAAAGAAGTAGAATTGTTCATGAGGACATTTTTCTAGATACTACTGATAGTGAGCCTGATTTAGATGAAGAACAAGATATGTACCATATAGATATACCTGTGCCAAAGAAGAGGAAAGTTCAAAAAGAAAGGACCATTAATCCAGCTATCCTGCTTGCTCAAAAAAGGTCCAAGTTGAAAAGCTCGAAATCAGATTCTAAAAGTGAAAAGCCCAACAAAAAGAAGCAATTACCAGATAAATTTATTGATTCACTGATGGGTATAGTAAGTGATGATGAACAAGAGGAAGGAGAAGAGGGTAAAAATTCAATTAAACAAAAGATCAGTGGACACTCTCGTTCAAAAGATAATAAAAAATATGAGACGACGACTGATTACAATAGTGATGAAGAGAAAATTGAGTTGAAGAAAAAAGTTGATGCACAAACAAGAAGAGATTATTGGTTAAGTAAGGGCCAATCTATGTCAACGATCGCGACAACTTAATGAATTTGTAATATAATGAATATTATTACATAGAAGGCTTTTTGATACACTGTTTATATAACTATCTTAGACATTTAATGCATACTTACAATCACCAAGGTGACTACATTAAAATTCAATTTTAGTTCGTAATTTTTTCTTATCGCTTTTAAACTTCTTATTCTGAATTCTAATATCATTTGCTCTTGCTTTGATCTTATTCCACTTTTTAATTGTTTCTTGTGGAGTCTCGACTTTGAATTTACAGGTTGATTTTATTTCATTTATAAATTTCTCCATACATAAAGATTTGTTAGTTTCTCTTGATCTTGTTTGATCTGACTGTATTACCACCGAATCTGAGTTCTTGGTATAATATCTGAATGATCCCATTTGTAATTGATTTCTGACTTCTATAGGAATCCATGAACAAGAAGAAAGATTAAATAAAGTCAAAGTACATTTAGTATTCAGTTTGTTTACATTTTGACCACCAGGACCACTAGATCTATCAAATCTAAAAGAGAATACCCTTGGAGGCAACTTCGAAATTGCCAAATTTTGAAGCCAATCTTGTGCCTCCGTTATTGATGAAGCTTTGGGATCATTATTGGGAATGTAACTTCTATAAAAATCTTTAGAAACAATAGACTTGTCAAATCTTATACTTTTAACTGCATATTTCCAATTAAAAAGCATAACGTTTTTACGTTTACTTGGTAAACCAAGTTGGATTCATACCTTCTGTTGTTGTCTTTCTTATTCTTTTTGGATGATATTTGAATTTAATAGAAATCGTTTTCATATTTTTACTGATAGACATAAATATCGTGTCCGGTAATTTTCACTGAACATTCTACTAATGACTAGGGTCCCTGGCATTAATTAACAGTAATTGTAAATATATATATATATATAATTTAAAAGTTAAAAATTACTTTACATGTTTGTAGTAAACTACACTATTATATGTTAGATTTCTATTTTACTTGGATGTTAATTTAGTGAAGCCCAATGATAAGTCTAGAACAACTTCTTGAAGATCAGGGACCTTGTGAGAAATAGGAATTGTTCTTAATATTAAGGGGTATAATAGCTTTACATTCTTCACTACAGTTTCATTAGAGGTTATAGTATCAGATAGTAATGATTCTAATATATCTCTTAACCCACGAAGCAAGGTTTCTAATTCTAACTTACGAATCTTGGAAATTGGTGCTCTTCCAACCAGTGATTGATCGGATATGTGTCTTCGCAATGCAAATGCAATACGTGAAACTAAATATGGAGCAGCTACTGTTCGTAAGGTTTTGTATTCTTCACCTTGTAGCGTAATAAATTTGACTAAATCATTCAGGCATTCTATTGCACATTTGTATTTGCTTAGTAAAGGAGACTCGATTGTTGAACCTGCAATGTCTGAAAACTGAAATTCCGATAATTTCTCAGATACTTCATACAAATTATTTCCCGATTTGATAAGTACATCTTCAATTTCATCTAAGTGATAAAGGAAAGAGTTTGTCCACACAGTAGAAACAAGAAACTCTAATTGTTCCTTTCCTATGAATTTCATGACGTCAACGCTCAACAAAATATCACGATACTTACAATACTCTTCTTTGTCAACATCCTGAGTCTCTTCGTCAATCTGTGGATCTAATTTATGCAATGGTGCAACAGTTACTTTTGTATATATGTCACAAACAGTATCAATAAACTGGTTTGGTTCCTTATTCATTTCAGTAGACTTAAATAATTCCACCGATAGAGTTCTCAAACAACCTGAAACCAGCAACCACATTGGCTTGTTCTTTTCAGCACTAACGTCGATTAAAGACTTCCGTTCAATAATTTCACCTAAGTTTCTCATTACTTTAGTAATGAAATCGCTTCTGACTATTTCTGGCTTCTTGTCGACTATGATGTATAATCTGTCATTTAATTCGACACTAGCATTATAGCTAATTGCCTCAAAAGTTGGTATACGTGATCTAGAGTTAGCAGACAGTTTTGGTAAAAGCTTCTTTTCGATCTTTTCTCTCGTCTCAAAAGGTAACGTTGCTATTGCTCCTAATTGGAGCAATAATAATTTTTCTAGTTCTGGATCTTCTAGACATTTAAAGGTGGAAAGGCTTTTCATAATACCGCCCTGTAATGAAGAAGGCTTTTTGTTATCCTTAGTGTGTTCAGGCAAAAGTGGATAACGCACTGCAGAATTGAACAAACTCAAAGCCTTCTCAACAAATTCTACCGTAACTTGGTTGTATAATTTCATCAATTCGAATAGGTATGGGAATCCCTTTATATGTTCATCGATACAATCGTATCCTGATACCTGATGAAACGTATTGCCTCCAGAAATATCACCATATATAATGCTATAGCCACACCATATTTCGTACAATTTCTTCAAAATCTCACTTGGTATATCTTTGATATTAACCAATTCCTTCAATAGCTTTTGGAAGTTTACAATTGCTGCATGCGATGCTTCGGTTGAATCGGAAACCAGTATCCTTTGGAAATAATCCAGTAAGGTGGACCACTGTGGAACCCTGTTTGGAGATGATGAAAAGTCAACAAAATGAATTGGGTAGAGATTTATGATACCCTGTAAAACATTATTCAAAAACTCAACACTTGTATGCATTTCATTTTCGTTCATGTTGGCTGTTAGTAAAGGATTCAACACTTCTAGGAAAATTAAATCCCAGTCAGGAAGATAATTCGAATGAGAGGATATTATCCTGAAAAATGTTTGAATGGATCCACTCTTTATTTCATTCCTACTATCTGTTGTACATTCAACAAGCTTTTTAAGTAAGTACAACCATAATGCACTAGATATTTCAAATTGTGACCTAGATGAATCGGTAGAATTTACAACTTCAATTAGACCTTTTTCTTGAATTAGAGTTGAGAATTTCTCCACATCTGATGATTCGATGTTTTCAATTTTATGATGGATCCTCAAATAATCGCCTACAAGCCAAAATTGACTAATAGATGAAAATGATATATTTAGATTCCGGCTTTGTGAAACAAAGTTTCTCAGGGTATCAATAACATCTTTGATGGTATCTAAAGGTAGGGTTTGTAGGAAATCGTCTGATATCAATTTGAAAACGTCGTAAGAAACTTCAACCATTTCTTTGTGCTTTAAAACTAAACCTGTTACCAATGAAGAATCATCTTCAGCTTCTGTGGCAACTAATAGGTCGTCATTTACTACCCACTGGAATGGTGAATTAATCACTTCAAATACAGTTGGCCATGACTTGTCAAGTGAATCGCCAAATTCATTCAGTACTTCTTTTAACGTGAACAAAAGTTGCAATAATATTTTTGACTCCGTATCAGCCACCCCATGATATATTTGTTCTTTCCCCATATCGAGGCTTCTTAATTTGTTAATTAAGATAGTAAAAGATTTAGAAAACAAAACCTCCAAACTTCCAAAGGCAACCTTCCTCTTATCTGCGTCTTTTATTTCATCGACAGAATTCGTAGTTTTTAATATAATATCAGTATATACCCTTGTCGCATATAATCGAAGCAATGTATTGGATATATCACGGTTACCAATTAGTTCAACCAAATAATCGTAAATTAGAAACCAATTATTCTCACCATCTGGATTCATATAAAATTGGGAGCTGTTATGCATGCTGAACTCTCCTAATTCGGTGACAAAAAAACTTTTATTATATAAACAATATTCAATTTCTCCACTTTCTGACACTGGATACTGGCAAATATTATCTTCAAATTTTGGCATGGATAAAGATTTATGTGAACACTCTATCAACGATCTCAGTAACATTTCGAAAGAGCCAGCGTTGTACAATGTTGAGTTTGTTAATAGGTTCTCAATACTACTTTCAATAGATGATATGCTATTCTTTGATAAAGCAGGGGCACTTGGCACATCCTGTACATAATAGTTTTCCATGAATTCAGAAGAAGGGCCATAGATGAAATATGACACCCATTGCCAAGTAACTAATACATAACGCCAGCATACACTGTTAAAGTTGGATCCTAATGAGATAGATAACGATAAAAGGGCTCTCAGTAAAACCACATGTTTTTTACTCATTTTTCTTGGATGTAAAACCTTCTTGGAAGTTCTTTCCTCGTTAGTCTTCTCTGATTCAGATGTTCCCATTAAAGTTTCACTTAATACATTCAATACGGTACTTGTTTGCCTAGTCAATTGGTCATTGTTGTCATCTTTTGGAGCATCTTTTGAAGGGCGTTTGGCGTTTTGTACTATTCCTAGAGAAAAAAGGTTCAAACATTTTGTAAGCTTTTCATCATTTGATAAAACACCAGAAACATGAGAAATCTTTTGGAAAGATCTAACTGCAGAATGAAACAAATGACTATCCAAAGACGTGGAATATAGAAATTTTTTATGTATATCAAATAGGTAAATGAATATCCCATTAAACATTGCTTCTAAATTCTTGTAATCACCTGAATCAGTATTTGTCCCCTCTCTGATAACATCTTGTGCTTTCAAACTTAATCCCTCCGAAATATAACTCGAGATGCCTAAAATTATCCATATGAAATATGTCAAATTAATTGAATTTACATTAATTTTATCAAAAGTTTGAATGTAAGGTGTTTTAATCATGGATAGTTCATTGGATATTAGAGGAGAATCTGTAATTTCGATAATAGTTGATTCCTGTAAGTATGAAACCAAATCCTCTGAATTAATTAAATTGTTCAGTTCTTTTAATAAGTTTTCCAAAATATGCTTTCTATCAGGAAATTTATCATAGGAGATAAAAATATCTTGCAGGAAATTGAAATTTTTTGAAATATCTAGGAACAATTCTAGGGAGAGTGCCTTTTTCCAAACTGGCAAATCTGAATCTTTCGATATTACGTGAATTAAAAGGGACAGTACAACTTCCATTTCTAATTCCATTACCGGTATGAATTCACATTGCAATAGTGCTCTCACACAACGATAACTTCTTACCACTGTAGTAAACTGATTTGAGGATGAAATATTACGTAACAATAGTGGAACTGCTTTAATTCTTAATATATAGGATAAATCTGTATATTTGAAAAACAATTCTTTATTATTTTTCAGAATTGTTTCCAAAATTTCTAGAGCATAATCAATTGGTATGTCACTTACATTTAATATAGGAGTAATGTCAGAGGCAACTGGATTTGAATCCATTTTCTTTGAAGAATCCAAAGTGAAACACAAAGCTGCCAGTAAATTGTTTACATCGTAATGATAGGCATTTGTATTTATTTTTTCACTGTCTGAAATTGCAACTTTAAAAATGTTATTATCATAAATTGGTTTTGTTTCTTCATTATCTTCCCAAGTATAAGATAAACGATCAAAAATTTCATCAATTAATTGTTGTAAAGTTGCACTAGCTGTACCAGCAACCATTGGATATTTTGTTGATAATTGTAACAAATTTGAACAGCATTTCAACAATTTTGAGCATAAATCTCCATAGATTAATTTTGAATAAGTATTAAAAAAAATAGGTAAAATTTGCATAACTTTTAATTGTATTTCCACCGCTAAATGAGTAGCATTAATAAAAGCATCTAAAATTTCAGAAATTCTAGTACTTGGTATACATTGTACAGTTGATATAACTTGAATGCATTGCATAGAAATTGAAGTTAGCTTTGCATTTCCTGAAGAACATGCCAAAATGAATGGTACTACGAAATCTGGATGTCTTGTTAAATCATTTATATTAGTTACAGTTTTCAAAATTTCAATAGATTTATCACTAGCGTGTTTAACATCTGTACTTTTTCTTTTCGATTCAGAAGATAAAGATTGTAAGTCTGTAGTCAATTGCTTTTTAAAGGCTGCAAAATCAAAAGATTCAATTGCCATCTATAACTAATTGCAATATTGTTTGGTGTTTGTATTTTTTCCCACGTCTGTCTAGTAACAAAATGACTACAACTTTTCAAAGATCTGTAAGGATAGATTCAACAAAACTGTTAGGAAAAGCTGGTAATTAAAATGAACCCAAAAAACTTAATATAAAAGGATGATTCTACCTTTCAGGTTAATATTACTCCACTTCACTAACTAATTAATTGGCATAAATTCTATTCAATTGCACAGAATGCCATTAATACAACTACCTATTCACAATTTTCCTAAGTTAAACTAGTCACTCTGTATAATATTACCTTTTCAAGTTGTTAACGATTTCGAAATTTGATATTAGGATTTCTTTTACGGCTTCTATTCTTTCATCTTAAACACGTGATTATCTTGAAAAGTTTCGAAACCCAAATCACTTCAAAGTGGAGCCATACGACAACGTAAGCCAGAAATAAGAAACAGAGTGTTAAAATTATAACAAGACAATTATACAATTAACTGTGACAGATAAACATTTAACTATGAGTATATCTATTTGTGATAGTGATTTGTAAGGGACTCATCATTTCCTGATTTATTTCTTAAATATATTACCAGATCTACTAATTAACTATACTAGGGAATAGGAAATATATATGACGTCATTACCTCGTTTCGAAATATCTTGCTATATAATATCGAGATTTCGAAACCAGTTCAAGACTTGAACAGATGAAGGTTCGCATCTGATGTGGTTTTGCATGGATACATCAGTTTATAAATTTATTTACATATATATATATGTCTTCCTTGTTCACCGAAGATATACTCAGTGCATTTTGAGGCTAATGAACATCGCAATGGACAAAACGATATTCTTCACATCCTTTCATTCTTTCGTGTCGATCTATACTTAATTTTGTCTCTCCCTGAGTTTGTCTGCTCATTTGGTTTGAATTTTTGGGTGGTGCATTTAGTTAAGTAATCAAACCGACAACAAACTGATCTCATCTCATCACGGTTGTGTTTTTGGGCTTTATCGTTATTTTGTTACAATTGCATATATATTAATATAGGTGATTGATATGGCATGATGGATTCACAAAACTTTAAGTAGTCACAAGGAATTTTTTAAGTTATCTTATTTGAATCGTTGATTCAGATTCTAGTTGCTGATTTTATTTCCACTTCCCAGGTTGCAATTGGCAGTTTGCATATGGCTGATGTTCATCCTAAGGTATATACATGTCTATTATATGCAATTTAGAGTTTAGATTTGATGATAACTGCAATATTTGGTGGGTTCAATGCGAATACTCGAAATGATAAGGAAGTACCCACTAACGTTGATATGTTGGAATTTGATGATACCGATATAACTTCTCAAGAGGATACTACAGCTGATAGTGAAGTTCAGATAGGCGATTTGGATGTATCTTTAAACCATTCAAAGGTTGATGATGAGCCATTCCTAAATTTGGATGATCAGGGTAGTAACAACAATAATAATGAAACTTATAGTATTCTAAATATGTGTGAAATGTCAATAGATGATTTAAATGAAATTGATGTCATTAATGGTAGAAAAATTGAAGAACCGTTTAACCTTTTAGACGCCTCCAAGTTAGAATCAAATATCATGCCTGCAAGTTCAGATCATTATGCGCATTCTTATGATAGATATGGTTTTAGGAAAGCAAGTAAATATATTACTGAAGAAGAATATGATAAGTGGTGGTCAAACTATTCATATTCATGTAGCAAAAATAAAAATAAATGGGAACGATTTATGTCGAATAATGGCTTGCCAGTTATAAATGATACACCAAAGAAATTTCCTGCAAAGAATGACAAATTGAAAAAACTAGTCCGAAAAGGTGTGCCTGCGGAATGGAGAGGTGATGCTTGGTGGGCTTTTGTAAATGGTGATGATTTATTAAACAAAAATAAAAATCTATACATGAAGCTATTACGGGTAGTATCCCAGCTAGATGAGTTTAAAAATAGGAATGATAAAAATGCTGACCATAAATATTTACCTGAACTAGATGTCATCGAAAGAGACCTTAATAGAACATTCCCAAACAACCTACATTTCCAACGTGAACCTTTCCAAATTTCAGATCCTCCAATGATTAAGTCGTTAAGAAATGTGCTTGTTGCCTTCGCAATATATTGTCCCAGTATCGGTTATTGTCAGTCTTTGAACTTTATAGCAGGGTTGCTATTGCTATTTCTGGACGAAGAACGAACTTTCTGGATGTTAGTTATCATAACCTCAACATTTCTTCCAGGAGTTCACAATTTTGATTTAGAAGGTGTAAATGTAAATCAGGGAGTATTAATGTTATGTGTTAAAGAATTTTTGCCTGAAATATGGCCTTTTATTGAGAAAAATTATAATCATGATAAGAAAAAACCTCTGCATTTACGAAGGACAAACGAATTTCTACATAAATTACCCTCGATTGTGTTATGCACAACAAATTGGTTGATGAGTTGTTTCGTAGGTACCTTCCCAATTGAAACTACGCTACGTGTTTGGGATTGTTTATTCTATGAAGGATCGAATTTTTTGTTTAAAATTTCAATGAGTATTTTGAAATTAAATGAATGTCATTTTATGAAGAATAATGATAATGGTAGAACAATATATCATTTTTCAATACGGAAATCTAATGTTAATGAAGTGAATCGGTCTAATGGAACAATGCCAATAGAAGAGATGGAAGCAGAAATATTACAATCCCTCCAAACTTCCCCTAAAAAGTATTTAGATCCCGATGTTTTATTTGACAAAACAATAATGAAAAGACGAATGGCATTCAATAAACTAGATCAAGATACAATCGATACCTTGAGAAAATATGTTACTTCGCAAAGGTTGAAGTATAAGAAATACAGTAAGCTTTTTGGTTTAAATTATGACACGAAACAAAACTCTTCATCAAAGAATGACATTTATTCAGATCCCTCTGTTTTGCCAAAAGAAACAATAAACGAAATGGCATTAGAAGAAATAGATGAGTTCAAAACAAAATTAGATGGTGACTTTCCGGACAAAGATGTAAAAATAGGTTTAAACAACAAGCAAAGGATGCATTCATTGCCGTAATAGGTATGTTCAAAAATATTTGTTCAAATAAACCATAATATAGCATAAAAATCATAGACTAATATATTATAGAACATTTGTCAAAAGATCTCAAATACTTTCATATAGTGAATAATTTATTAATTAATTAATTAATTAACAGTTGTTACTCAACAATGATCTTATTATCATTAGTATGATGTACATAAATTTCTTAATAAGTAGAAAATGGATGGCTTTAAGGTCATCGCGCATAATGAAATTCTTCAGATGAAAAGTTTCAAATATGAAAATAATCGATGAGATACACTAATTTAAAAATATAGAACTACTGAACATAGATTTAAAAGTTAGGTGAGTCTTCATTCTTAGTGGTGGAAAGTGCTTATATAGCTATATATAAATCAAGTGAAAGATGAACGGTATTTTTGCTATTGAAAAGCCAAGTGGGATAACTTCCAATCAGTTTATGTTGAAGTTACAACATGCTTTAACTAATAGTCAAGTATTTTCTAATGAAATCAAAAGAGCTACAGCTGAAAGAATGCAACAGTATCAGCAACAGACTGGTAAAAAGGCAAGTAAAAGGAAACTTCGTAAAGTTTCAAAAGTTAAGATGGGCCATGGTGGTACTTTGGATCCATTGGCATCAGGAGTCTTAGTTATTGGTATTGGTTCAGGAACTAAACAATTGTCGAACTATTTATCTGGGACAGTGAAAGTATATGAAAGTGAAGCCTTATTTGGTGTCTCTACTACATCTGGTGATGTTGAAGGTGATATACTATCAAGAAATTCAACCAAACATTTGACAATGGATGAATTGAAAACTATTCCTGACAAATTTAAAGGTTCATTGAAGCAGACTCCTCCAATTTATGCCGCTCTCAAAATGGATGGTAAACCATTGCATGAATATGCGAGAGAAGGAAAGCCTCTACCTAGAGCTATTGAGCCAAGACAGGTATCTATTTATGACTTAGATGTATTTCCTGATTCTTTGAATACAAGCCATAACTACCCTTTATTAAGGCCAACTACAGAAGAAGCTATTGAAACTGTTAAAAACCTGAATGCTAATTTATTAAATGACACCTTATATTTCTCTAAGGAATATTGTGAAAAGAACAAATATGAAAGTGAAGAAGCAAAGGTTGAGAAATCAATAGATTTATCAGAAGAAGAAGAAAAAGCTATTTCTGAAACTGGTGATGCTTATCGTGCGCCATTGTTGCATTTTAAGGCAAAAGTATCATCTGGTACATATATTCGTTCATTGATTAGTGACATTGGTAAAGCTATGAGATCATCGTGTTACATGGTAAAATTGATACGTTTACAACAGCAAGATTGGTCACTGGAGAAATATAATGTCTTTCAGCTAAATGATTTTACAGAAAGGAAGGAAGAAGTTTGGCGTAAGGTATTACAGTTGGTACTTGAAAAGGGAGCAGATGTTAATGTCACAGAGGAATTAGCCAGAGCAGAAAAGGAATACCAAGCGACAAATGAAAATTTGGCTGAAACTAATAATACTGAAGATCTATTGCCTCAGGCTGAAGAATCATCGTCTCAAGCTAAAAAATCTGATTCACATAATACAGACACTACACCACAAGAAACAAAAGGTATTAAAAGAACTGCTGATGAACTTTAAAGGAAATAAAATTAAATATATGTAGATAGACTTCTATTTTTATTAAATTTCAACTGAACAAAAGAAAAACAAGAATTGACGATTCAAATTTCTGTATGATTAATTATAAATAACCTTTGACAACTTCTCATTATTAATTTTGAGGCTTTGTCAGCTTGGATAATAATAATATTTAAACAATGAAGATATGTTTAAATGATTAGCCAGTCTTATAGGTAACTAATCTTTTGTTAGGACAATTTGAGGAGTGTCTTTCTTCTCCGTAATAGATAAGTAGAGAATTGGAACTACGAAAAATTTCGAGCCCAAAAATTGAAAACCCATTGAGATATGGAGATCTTACTAAGGTGGTAGAATTATTTATGTTATAAAGATAAATATCTATTTTGACGGTATTTGTTTTAATTTATATGCTTTTTCTATTTTACTTCCTATTTTTATGAAGTACAACATGTTGACTGATCTTAATGCATAGGATTCAAATTCATTTTTCTGTTGAGTACTGCAGTAGGCTGGAGCTCTAGGACAACGGATGAGCTTTCTTTTGCAATTATGGCTCAACAACGGATTACTTGTGTTACTTTGTATGCTAGTTGAAGAAGAACAAGATAGCAATAATTAAAGTTCAGAAACAAAATAGTGTCACTGTCATCCTGTAATTTGGAGGAGATCTTCAAAACTGCGTTTCAATGATACCTGTGTGTAGCTCTCTCCATCTAATATGACATAATGATCATGTTTGTAAAAGTCAAGTGATCTCGACGGCATTTTCTTTTTTTACCCTTTGAGTGTGTAGTTGGAGCGTAAAACAGTAAAAGATAGACGAAAGGTGGTTCTACTGGATATATTTCCTTACCTGAGTAGGTAATCTCTCTCAATTTCAAGCCCAACCTATACAGTGATCAATATGAATTGATTTGGAGGAAGTTAAAATTAATGAAGCCTCATAAAAAATGAAGACATTTTAATATATTTTACTTAAATTGGTATTAATTTAAATAAAATAACATATATTCTAAAATCAAGGCGATATCGATTTATAGTTATTCATTGTGACTTGAAAAATATAATTTAGGGTGCATAACAAGAAATTCCAAAAACCATAGTGATAGACCTAAAAAGGACAAATCTTATGTTAAAACAAACATAAGTGCAATGCAATTCAAACAAACAGACCACGAAAATTTATATAAATCTATATATAATGAGTTAATTGTTGGAACACAATAGGTAATCTTATTTATTGTATAACAAAACTAATTTCAAAAAGAAATGCGGTTTGCCCTCCTTTTCCAAATGTTGATGTAGGGACTCTTTTCGTTTCTTGCAGGACTAGATTATTTATTCCATTTGGGTCTGTCTGGATCCCCGAATAAAAAGAATTTCGATCAAACTAATCGCGGCCTTGTCATCTCCTTCCTAGCATAACATAACTTAGACCAAATAAACCAAAATGGGTAAGCCTAACTACTTCAGTAAATTTACGAAAAAAAATAATAAAACAAGAAAGTACCTTTTAAACATCATGCACAAACCACTTCTAAGCCTACATAGCATATACATTAAATAATACGAAAAAAAAAAGCGACACAACCAATCATCAAAATCTGTATTAGAATGTTTCAAAACCAAATATGCAAGAATAGATAGCCTTATTATTCTTGAAAGTATTCATTAAAAGTCACTTCAAGAACAAGATGAACAAGAACTAATTCAGTAAAAACTCAAATGAATAAAACAGAAGAAGAAAGAGTCTTGGCATTGTTCAAAATCAAAAAGAAAATATATATGGCAATACTTTTTTGGCGTTTCTATTAACAAATAATCTCTCCTATTACAATTATATGTTTTAAAGGTTTAAGATTGGTGATTTAAGTACTCTCTCTGTTGCTGCTGCTACGATGTAAAAAAATAAATACCATATATGTACAGATAGATTTTATACTTATACTTTTCGCTTCCGCTTTTATTTCGCTTCTCTTTCGCTTTCGTTTCGCTTTTGTACTTTATTTTGTCTAATTTTACATCATTTTTCTCCTGTCTTGATATCATTAGTTACACGAAATTGAATTTATTTAATTATACTAATCAAGTTGGTTGGATTCTCGAAATGTCTTGCAGATTTATATTTTACTCTTTTCAATATAGTACAATACATACAACGAAAGACTGGGCTGACTATTGAAATATATAGTTATTTCGTGATTTCGCGTAGAATCTAACATATTTATTATCTATTTTATCCACATTTAATTTTAAATACTGTATGTGATCTCTGTTAAACTGTTGTAGTCGATAGTTGAGAATGATGGATGTGTAAATGAGTTTAATTAGATGATTACAATGAATACCATTTATTATGATTTAAGAATATTCATATTTACATATATATATGGATGATGATTGGGATAAGGATGGATTGTTTTCTGGAATAAATTTTTCTTGTTGTTTAGTATTGTACTTCTCGTTATCTTGTTGTGTACAGTAAACCACTAAGATATTCAATCAATTCAAGACATTTCAATATACATATATACATAAATATATATATATATTGATTAAAGTAGAATAAAAATCAATTCATAAAAATTATATTCACGAAATGTCACAAGAACATAAGAAAGCTTTGCGTGTTTTAATGAAATCACCAGTCACTGATGATATGATTAAATTTTTAACAAACACTACTCTTCAAGTTCTACCTGCTAGTTTACCAACACCTCCAACTTCTCCATCAGACTCTAAACAACAAAGATTACCATCTTTAATGACATTCATTACAAAGTTAGTTAGATATACCAACGTCTACACTTCCACATTATTAACCACTACTTGTTATTTGAAGAAATTACAAAGAATCTTACCAAAAGATGCTACTGGTTTACCTTCAACCATTCATCGTATGTTTTTAGCATGTCTAATTATTAGTGCTAAATATCATAACGATTCTTCTCCTTTGAACAAACATTGGGCAGAATATACTGACGGTTTGTTCTCTTTAGAAGATGTTAATTTAATGGAAATGCAATTATTGGCTTTGCTAAATTGGGATTTAAGAATCAATGAAAATGATTTGATCTTAGATTTAAGACATCTATTAGAACCAATCATGAGAGATTTGGAAATTTCTTATCAAAGAAAGAAAATTCTCAAATCAAAGTCAGAACAACACCAATACATTCAAAGACCAGTTTCACCAATTTCACCAACAAAGTCATATAATAAATTCTATCGTCAAGTCAGTAGTAGTTCAATTGATTCTAATATGAGTTCAGCAACTCTAACTGAATCAATGAGCGCCAGTAGTTCAAGATACAGCTTGGCACAATCTCGCTCTATAACGCCAGTAAGTGAAAAGACTCCATTAGTTTTAAACGATTTAAAAACTGGTTACAGATCAACCGATGAAAGTTGGGATTTTGAACAAATAATGGCACAATATGGCTTTTAAATCAAGGCAAACAAAAACTAAGCATTTCTCATGGATACCCAGCATTTTAGATAAATAGATTTATACCTATTTCAAGTAAATAACATTTAGCATTTTAATTATACATTCAAGGACATTTATAATACAAACTAATAATTCTTAGATTCAATTAATTATTACATCAATTCTCCCACGACTTCTGGACAATTCTTTAAACGTGAATTTCACACAAAACCAACATCAAATAATAAGTATAAACACTAGCATTCTAGGAATCTTGTATTATCAGAATCCGTTCATTGACCTGATCTAATAAAAACTAAACTCAACTTGACCTAACTACAATTTAAGCAACTAACCATCTCATTGTCTGCACTATGTTAATTTTCCTTGCCCTGAATACTTTCAAGCGGTAATCGTCGGGTAATCGCAATGAAAATTTTTCTTTAGAAATTGAAAACTATAAAAGGCCAATGAAATTTTGAAATGTTTGATAGAATGAAAATAGTTATTCTTTTTTTTTGTATTTAGATTTCAAGATGTTACTCTAAAACAGAAGAAGTAAGCAAGAAACATGGTTTTGCTTAAATATACTAGCAATAATGTTGGTATAGAAATGGTGAAGCAGTAATTATGTAATTGATTGCATTGAAAGATAAGTTTATCTATGGGATTTATTACGTAGTTACTCTTTATCTGATCTTCTAAATAGTCAGAGAAAGTATTAACGAGAAGGAAAATGACGAGACAAACGCTGTGCACCAGTCTGATATCAGGTCCTAAATGTACTCAGGATTCGATGAAGTATCAAGTATACCCAAATTTCTGATCCTTTTCAAATTATACTACTCTAGTTGTAATATTTCTTGAATACTTTGTATTGTAATTTTGTAGGTTTAGTGTAGCATATCTGGCTATATTGTCAGATTATACCTGGCCATATAATATGGAACGATTGTCCTTTTATCATGTGGACTAAACTAGATATGTTTATATTTGCATTTTGATAAAGAGATAGGGTACATATTCGACTTCTTTTAGTGCGTAAGATATAAGTAGGATTTCATTTACCAACGATTTTAGATTATTTAATGTCTTTTTATGGGAGACTCACTGATACTGGTACACTGGTACTGATAGCTTGTTTTTTTAATTTTGAGATGACATACAAAGATAAGAGATGCGAACTTGGATGTGATAATGTCTTGCTTATAATCAATACAAGTACCCTCGGGCACTCGATATTGATTTTAGACGTTTCTGAAGTACTTAAAGACATACCATAGGATGAGGACTGTATAACTCTTGAACAGGTACAGCAAGTACTGTAACTAATTAAAAGAATATAAATATGAAAAAATTCAATCGTCAACAACACTACTAAAAAGTATTAATAACCCCATAATTTACTTCCATGTATGGTTTGCTTCATCGAAAGCAGTAACCTGGTTTTGGATATTAATTTGGAATCTACCCGATATGTAAATATTCTACTCTGACACTAAATTTCCAGGAATTAAAATGGTTGACTTTGTCAATAGTACATAATAATATAGTATACTTAACAAATTTGTAAGGAACCTTGTCAAAAAATTGTAGATGCCAGATATTGAAAGAGTGAATTATTATAAATCTATCCAACGTTATCTTTAAATTAGGTGATATATTATGATCATGCAAAAAAATTGAGCGGTACGAGAATCGAACCCGTGTCCCCACCTTGGAAGGGTGGGATGATAACCACTACACTAACCGCCCGTGGTGTTGTTTAAAGAAAGAAAAACTGACAAAATTTAAGCCGGCTGACATATATTTCCAAAATTTTCCTTAAATAATCAAGTTTCCTCTTGTTCATCTGAGGTTCTTACTGCAAGTTCAATATCTTGTCTTGAGAAATCATTAGTTATATAGTATTGATATGTGACAATTTTTCCTCTGGTCCTTCAAGGACAATAACAGATCTTAAATAAATCACACAATTATTTTAAATTACAAGTGGTAATATTTGGTCTCTATTTATCTGGCGAATATTTCGACAAATCTTTTCATGGCACCTGGACTACGAATAATTGACGAGCCGTCATAATCACTAAAACTGAATATGGTATGTAATGGCCTGGACATTGTATGTACCCATATGAGAAGGGGTAATTATTAAACCAAATTTGGCTTCCAACAATACTTCATTCACTATATTGTTGCTATATTTAAGAAGTCTGTAAACTTGACTTTCGACTATTATTTATTCTTTCGTATGACTGGTTGAAATTTATAAAACATATTCTAATTGATTGACTCAAACATTTTAAAAGAAAATGATTTGAATAGGACATATCTGCATCCTAAATGCTCATATATAACGCTTTTCCAGCTTTAGTAAGTAAGACGTTTACAAATATTTGAGATAGTAAGAGTCGATTAATTATTCTGAGTATTTTTTGGATCTCATTAACCTATTCCTAAAGGCTATATGCACTTGCCTGATATAAAAAACTATCCTATATTATCAATATTATTTTTCATGATGAACATAAATAATATCTCTTGAAAAAATAGAACAAGGTCATATTTTATCGATACTTTAAGCATAAGTATAACTTTACCCTTGGTTATAATTCTATACAACTATTCCCTGTCTTCAATTAATGTTGCTGTAGAATCCCTTAATTATAGCTGTACAATACATATCTCCTACTAACTAAATATTCTATCTATATCAATCCAACAACTTTTCATCCTGATTTAGATGCAAATGCAATTAAGATTGATTGAACCTCACAACTGTCAAAAGATATCCCACTGCAACTGCTTTAATACATTAAATCAAAGAAAATGTGCATAACTAAAAATTGGAAAATGGTACGTTTACAGCAAAGTTGTTATATAACAGCAGATTAATATGAATATTTTATTGTAAGACTAATTGGCATAACAACAGGATAAATAATATGACTAGATCATCTGTTGATTTGATTGTTGTTCATGTATGTATAAGAAACTTTCCATATTTAGTTACATATAAATTTAAATATGCATACATATATTACGCGATGTATAAATTAGATCAATAAACTATGATGTTTATAAGGTAATAAGAAAGAATAGATTTGAAGTTAAACTATTACTGTTTTGAACAGATTCTGGGAGGAAATAGTTTATACATTGTATTAAAGAGCATATTTTGTTTTGTTAGATACTATTTTGAGGATTTTGGCAAATTTTGCTGTTATATATTTAGCGATAGAGGGTTAATTAAGTGAAATTCATTACTGCCCCTTATTCAAAACTAATAATTATATTTATATGTATACTTATATATACGTTATACATTATACGGTATACATTCTATTATACACTTATATTACATTAAAGTTCCAAAGGAGGTGAAAAGATTAAAACAATGTGCTTTTATTTTGTTTGTTGCTCAGTTTCTGATTTTATCCTATATCTAGTGGCTATAATATTCCCACCAGCAGCCGTTGTGCTTAGATCTGGATGTTGTTCTATTGATTTTTTTATTAATATTTTACTGACAATACTAGGATTTGTTCCTGGTATGTTGCATGCTTTTTATTATATTACTATCACTAGTCCATTAAGAAACAATACAGAATACCTTTACGTTTATCAAGAAGGTTATGTCCAAGATCCAGAGAGATTAGATAACGCTGTTCAAAATTCAACCCCTACTTTACAGACTCCATTAATATATGGCTCTCATAGTGACCATCATTCATCGACTGATAGGCCCAGCAATGGTCAAAATGAGACTAAGAAGAGTTCCACTCCTGCACCCCCTCCTTATACAGAATTACCATGATATCACACTACTAATAATCTAATAACAGTTTTAATACTGTGTTATAAAATTGTTGATATTGATGTTGTTTTTATTTTTCTACTTGATGGTTATTACAAATGATAGAATTATCAATTTTAGTCGTATTATCAAATTACTACTAAAATTGACTTATTGTTACGGGTACAGCTACTTTTATATTCTTCCGTGATAATATTGGTTGCAATCATAGATGAAGCATTTTTGAATACACTATTACACAGATCAAATTTTTAGTAAAGATTAAAGGACTAATTGGACAACTGGATGGTTTTCACTTATAAATAGTTTTTTGTACAGGGTGAATTAGTGATTATAACTGCAATTTGTTGTTGAGGAACAAATAATGGTCGATTGGAATGAATCAGAAGTACTAGTGGATAGGAAATCAAAATTTCAGGCTAGATGTTGTCCTTTAAAGAATCAAGATGATATACCAAAAATTTTGCACGAATTGATGGCAAATAAGTCAATTGTAAAATCTTCACATCCTCATATGTACGCCTGGAGAACTGCAGATTTATCAACTAATGAAAGCAATAATAAAGATACTACTACAAAGGGAAAAAATAAGAAGAACAATGCAAAAGCATCATCTATAATACAAGTACCGAAGAATATCCAACAAGGTTGTTTTGACGGTGGTGAGTCCGGAGCTGGCCAAAGGTTATTGACACTTTTGGAAAGATCTAATATATTTAATGTCATGATTATAGTTACCAGATGGTATGGTGGAACACCCCTTGGTTCGGCTAGATTCAGGCACATATCTAGCACAGCAGTTGAAAGTTTAAGAAGAGCAGGATTTCTTCCACGTTGATCTCACCATATTATGAACCACTTTTGATTGCATTGCATAATTACATTTAAGTTATATTGTGATGTATGTATGTATGTATGTATATATATTTGTTTAAGCATAAATATTTTATGAAGCTTGTGCCTCAGAATTATATTTGTCATAAAAATTAGTCCAATATATTCTTAAAGCAGGCTGTTCTAACCCTAATTTAGTTAGAGTGTCGACCTCATCCTTAGTTAGATTAAAACTGAAAATATTTTGGGCATCAATAATCCTTTGAGTCTTTGAAGATGTGGTAATTGGTAAAATACCACGGTTGTAAACCCAATTCAATAGAATCTGAGAATCAGTTTTGCCATACTTGCTTGCAAGTTCGTCAATGTAATTGTAGAAGGGTAATTCATTGGAATTTTCAGGTCTTTTTTGCAATGGACCTAATGGAGAGTAAGCTTCCAATTGAATATTATTCTTTTGACAGTAATTAACTATTCCCGGAGTTTGATTCTGCAAAAATGCATTGAATTCTATTTGATTAACTTGTGGTTTAATGCCAGCAATTTTTAATATTTCTTCTATATTTTTAACTGAAAAATTTGAAACACCAATGCTTTTAGCTTTACCTTCCTTATATAAAGTCTCCATATCTTTCCAGACTTTTTCCAATGTTAGAGAACCTTTAAACTCAGGATCAAAAAATGGAGAATGTATTAAATAAAGATCCACATAATCCAAACCCAGAGTTTTCAATCCAGTATTCAAACCTTCAATTGGATCATTAGTAAACTTAGTTTGCGTAGAGTACTTATCAGTAATAAATATTTCACTCCTAGGTTTTGAAGATTCTTTTAAAGCTTTAGCAAGTTCTGGGTATGTGCCATAACATTCAGCAGCATCTATATGAATAATACCTGGTAGAGATAAGGCATACTTGATTTGCTCCACCAGTTCATCAGAAAATGTATGTTCAGAACCGGGACGTTTAAACCATCTGGTACCTGTACCTATAATTGAAATAGAAGGTATCTGGTTACCATTATTCAAATCGAAAAATTTTTGAGTTAATGACATCTCTGAAATAGATATATCTAATAATCGATAGTATCATATAAGCTATCTTAGCTTCTTAATCTGTAAATAGGCAATTGGAAGTTGTTTATAATTTAAAATGGATAGAATATAGTTTAAAACCTCATGTGTGCTTAATTAAATACATTAATGTATTATGAGTACTACTATTTTTCAGAAAAAGGAGCGATACCTTAATCCTATTTGCCAATAAGATATTGATTATAAATGGTGTTCTAAATATCCCTTTATCACTAATGACTATAGTGGTTTGAGCCAATTAGCTAAAGTATAAATACACATATGCAGTATATTGGTTAGATAGAAATTTCTTTATTGTAGTAGAACTTTCCGGTTTAATGTTGTTTCATATAAGCGTTGTAAACCAAAATCCCATATTGTACTTTTATTTTATATCCAGGATGACTCAATAAGAATCACATATTGCAAACACTAATCAATTGATGTGCTATAGTTGTAAAAAGAATGTTGGATTGTATATAAATTACATATTATCCATTATCTAGAAGTTATTTTATGACTTTAACTTTAATTGTGATTAGAGTATATGGATATAAAGAGATGGTACTGTTTATAATTGTTTATACGTAATTTTTTCTCTTTGATAAGTTGAATATTATTGTTATTATATTATGAGTTAATCAAGTTTTAGATATACTTGTACGGGTTGAGGATAGCGTTTGGATCATAATGATTTTTTAAATCCTTGATTAATTTGATTTCTTCTTCACTCTTGGAATATCCGATATAGTTTTTCTTTTGGAAACCTAAACCATGTTCAGCACTAACTGAACCTTTCTTTGACGAAATAAATTCGTATACAAATGGTTCTAATGTTTTTTCTATTTCTTTATTGTATTCACGTACAGCAACATTTAAGTGTAAATTACCATCACCTACATGACCATATCCGATACCACTAATTACAGGTTTGGGGGCATCGCCCATTATACCAGCAGTTTCTAATCTTTCATTAACAGCTTCGACTAAAGAATATAGATCTTTTAATGGCAATGACACATCATATTTATAGACACCACCATTTGCTTGAGATGATTCTGGGATCATTTCTCTCCATTGCCATAAATTTTTCAAATCGGATTCATCTTGGGCAATTACACCATCAACGACCAATTCTTCTTCCATTACTTTTTCTAAAAATGCTTCAAGCTTGGCATCATTGTGTTCTTTGTTGGAACCTGAAACTTCGATTAAGATGTAAAAAGGGTATTCACCTTCCAATGGATAAGGAACATCTTTCAAATGTTGCTTTGTTAATTCCTGGGATTTAGAATCCATAAATTCAAAAGCAGATAAAATTTCAGACAATTCTTGTTTGGCTCTAACAAAAACCTTTTGTACAGCTTCAAAATTTTCAACAGCCAAAAAACTAACGTTAAAAGCAGTTGGTCTTGGTGGAGCTAAAATTGAGACACCTGTAATGACACCAATAGTACCTTCAGAGCCAATAAACAATTGTTTTAAATCATATCCAGTGTTATCTTTTTTCAATGCATCCATACTACTTACATATCACCATTTGGAAGAACAACTTCTAACCCAAAATAGAACCATGTAAAGAACCATATCTCAATAATCTCAAACCACCAGCATTTGTAGCAGCTACACCACCAACGTGACAAGAACCTTTAGCACCTAAATCCAATGGGAAGATATAGTTATGCTCGGCTAAGAAGTTATCAGCATTTTCTAAGATAACACCTGCATCACATTTTAAAATACCAGAAACTTCATCAAAAGATCTTATATGATTTAGATTATTCAAAGATAAAATGACTTCATCAAAAATAGGAACAGAACCACCAACTAAACCAGTGTTACCCCCTTGTGGTACAATTGCAATTTTTTGCTCATTACAATATTTCAATATCTTTGAAATGTTTTCAACAGATTTTGGCTTTAAAACTAATTTTGATTGACCTTTATATTTTCTCATCCAGTCTTCATTGTAAAAATCCAATGAACTTTCATCCTTAGCTTGTAATATTTCTTGTTCAGTTAATATACTTTTAAAATAATCCAAATCATCAGAAGTCAACTTTTTATACTCTGAATTGCGTTTTACATTTGGGTAGACTTCAGAGGTTAATTTCGGTTGAACCACAGTAGAGTACGCATTGTGATGAGCAAAAGAGACAGTTACAATAGGAGAAATAACTCTTCTATTGGAAGGAATACCTCTAATCAAAGTGACAGATCTCTTAGCAATAGATCTATATGATCTAAATACAGAGCCTGTAATCATATTTGTGAAATTTTTAGTAAAAGAAAGGAGGAAATAGATAGTCAGGTAAAAATCTCTTAGCAACTACTTCAACAGAATTGAACAACAGGGTGTGGCTGTATAAAACTATAAACTAACAGACAATAAATATTTATAGCTTGATATATATCCAAGATATTATGTTCAACATCGTCAGTTTTTAAGGTTATAAAGAGATGGTAGGTGTTATCAGATATTATCCTATTATGACGCATACAGTCGGAAATTAAAAGTTCGACAAGTGATTTGACTTCTGATTTGACTACACGTGATCAGCGAGGTAAACTGAGTGAAACATTTATAACAGTGTAAATTGATACAAGTGTCACTCAATCTGGAAAGCATATATATATATATATGCTAAAGATGAGGGTGCTTTAAATGGGAAAGCATATATATATATATATATGCTAAAGATGAGGGTGCTTTAAATGGGAAACATCTATTTGTTTAGTCTTTTCTTGTACATGTCACCTGTTCCCAGTAAAGTTTTTATCTTTCCCTCAGGAGAGGACTCATCAGCATAAAGTGGTATCTATCTAAATATATTTAAGTATCCAAAGAATAATTACATGCCCAAGGGAACTAAAACTCTCTATTGATGTATATATTAATGTGTAGGTCAAACATTAATACTTGTATTATATTAGGTATAAATAACACCATACTGTCACCACTACTAGTGGTCTTGGTGTATACGTAACTATGCTACATGGCACATTACCCTTCCTTATACACTTTCCCAATAATGATCACATGACTTAACCACTCTATTAGAAGAATGAATTACATGATGTTAGCCGGCCATCAATGCAAAAAGTGTATTATCAGGATAATCTCCTAGGATCATAGTCTTTCTAAAGTGCTCTCATAAATGGATAAGAGCCAAATAAACCGAATACGGAAACAATTGTGATTGGTTAAATGAGAACAAGGATGACAATAAAAGATAACTATGACGTGTTGAAATAACAACTACAGTTAATATAAATCTATAAATCAATGATCCAAAATAGCTATACCGCTTTTGTATAGTTTTTTTTTGTTATGGTTCGAGAAGAGAAACCATGGAAATAGAAACAAATTGGTGGCAACAAAACCATAGATACCAAGATGATAATACCTCAACTATGTAATATATCCAACGATACTCTGGTGTCATTGTTAAAGAGAGAACAAGAATAACGCTACCGAAATGCTTTCAAAACAAATTATTTTATGTTTATGTTTGGTTTTGTATTATAATATATTACTCTTTCTCTTTTTTTATCTTAAACTTAATAAAAGCTAACAAAAAATAAACAATAGATAGTTTCTTAATATCATTTAGTTTGGTAAGAAATTTTTATTTATTTATTGAGTGTAAGTTGGATATAACGAATAGTTACAAATACATAGTATACATTTTATCCTCTTTCCATTATGCAAACATAATAAATATCAACTCTGTCACTTACGATATACTGACATTTGTAATATCATAAGGAACGATACGTTTCGAATCCAATTCAACAAATACGACAAGGACCTTAAAGAGCTGTTCAACTAAAAAAAGGTTTTTATTTAAAGTTAAAGGATGTTTCTCATTCTGCATTAGCTACAACTATAACCCATCTTGATCAATTTGGTATTACCCAATTAAGTTCAACGTTATCAATATGTCTACTCCAGTTGCTCACGATGCTGCTTGCATCTTCTGTAAGATTATTAACGGTATGTTAATTTGTTATTTTTTATTTATATTGACAGACAAAGAGTCTGCTATATAATGTAATGTCCTTCAAATCCATCATCACTTCACGACAGTAATACTAACTCGATTTATAATTTAATTTGCAAAATTTTTTTAATTTTTTAATACAGGGGAGATTCCTTCATTCAAATTAATTGAAACTGAACATACTTTTTCATTTTTGGATATTCAACCAACTGCAGAAGGTCACACTTTAATTATTCCAAAGTATCATGGTGCTAAATTACATGACATTCCAGATGAATATTTGGCAGAAGTTTTACCAATAACTAAAAAATTGGCAAAAATTTTAGGTGTTGATAAAGTTGGTTCCGATGGATTAGGTTATAACGTCCTACAAAATAACGGAAGAATTGCTCATCAAGAAGTTGACCACGTACACTTCCATTTGATTCCAAAGAGAGATAAAGAAACTGGCCTTGGTGTGCAATGGCCAGCTCAAGCTACTGATTTTGAAAAATTAGGAAAACTACACAAGGAATTATTGGTTAAATTAGAAGAATCCAAATGAGAAAAGAATGAGAATACTAAAACAAATAATGTTAATCAATGATATTAGAAATTTTAACAACTAAAGCTTTCATGACCAAACACATATTATAATCTTATTTTCCCGTTTTTTTAACTCTTCCCATCAATACGTAAAGAATTGTTAAATATATGATCTATACATATACATTACACTTTCATCTATAGGAAATAAACTATTTGATAGGTATGATCCAAAGACCAAATAAAAACAAACTAATGCCGACACATGAACTGTAAATGATTAGAACTACAATCTTGTAAAATGCCAGACGCCAAATCCCAAATCATACAGAAAATAGTATTCAAATGGAGTCAGGAAACTAATAGAGCCAGAGACATTTTGTATTATACATCTCTTGATCAAAAGTAGGAAAATGTCTATATAAAAAAGTACTTCAAGGATACTGAAAATTAACAATAATCGAATGGTTTATGATTGTAATCATAAAAATTCACCTTACGATAACATCAAACGTTACAACTATACTCTCATTAATACAATTGTTCTAAAAGTTAATGTTCTTTTTATATACAACAGCCTTTAACATCTCCATATTAAAAGGGCTTAATCTTAATTCTACATTACTTGTTACCCGGAATCTCGATATTTTCAAAATTAATAGATCTTAAATTCTAATAACTCTAATACTTTCCTTTAAAATAATAGGGTGGCAAAACTTTTAATAAAGATCAAAACTTGTTTCTTGTGATATATTACTATATTATAAGCTAAGCCATATCGGTTCTTTGTTGATAATAGTGTATCTGGTCGGTAGAACGTTTAAGGAGGTTCCCTTTTATTTTTCTATTAAGATTTTGGATATTATTTTTGAGGTCATACTCGTTTTAATTATTAAGAACATTGATAAAGATACCCTTAGATTTTGAATTGGGAATTTGAAATAAGAAAACGAAGTTTTTTTTTTAGAATCCTGAGAATATATATCGAATTTCATTGAGAAAA